CCATAAATGCGTAGTTGATATATATTTTTTTTTAACAAGGTTGAAACAATCTCATTACATCCTTACAGTGGCGATGCACCACCGGATGGCGTGTGCTGTTAACATTCAGCTCTTAACTTTGTTATTTCTCCTCTACAGATCCAGAGAGGTGGACCAACATTCCTTTGCTAGTGAAGATCTTCAAATTGATCATCAACGAGCTGTCGACGGTAGTGGAGGCAAATGCCAGCAGAGCAAACGCAGCAGACTGGAGCCAAGGTGAATACAAATAATCTTCTGTTTCACTTCAGGGGTTTAGTGTTTTACTCAGTGAAGCTTTGATAGGACACATGGCTTGTAAGGGACATGAACACTAATGACCCTTCTGCAGTGCCTATTTCTCCTCAATTATTATAAGTCGGCCTAAATGTAAAGATATCTTCTGCAAGCTTGTATTTATTTATTTTTGTGTATTCTTATATTTGTTGTCACTAAGCCAAATGTAAAATGGTGATATTAAGTAATTTTTTGTTTGACAGTTTGACACAATTATCAACTGGCGTGTGTCAGGGGTTGCCCCTTGACTTGTTGACTTGGGTGCATATTATTTTTTTAGCTGTCTAAAAATTATGACAGCAGACATTTCATTTACCTGCTGTTGTCTCAGATTCCACTGGTATGTGGGAGGACCATGAGGAGGAAGAGAGGGAGGAGGATGAGGAGGACGACGAAGGGCTTGCAGGGCAGCTGCTTTCTGATCTCATCGCTTCCAACAAATACGGTACTAGTGTCTCCCCAGTGCCTCGGCTGTTCCTGTGGTTTGTCTTCAGGTTCCATGCATGCCATGCTTTTGCTGTTATCGTCGAACTTTGATTCTGGTTGATAAGTTTCCATATCCCGGTGTGTTCCTGCCTTACAGATGATGATTATTACGAGGATGATGATGAGGATGATCCGGATGCTTTGAAAGACCCCATATATCAGATTGATCTACAGGTACACGAAGTCTAAAGTTTCATGTGTATTAATCAGGCAGCAGCGTGCGGGAGGGTTAATGAGTTGGGAGATCTCAGCTTAAGAGCCTCCCAGATTTGCTGGAGATTAGTGCAAGTAGGAATGTAATATTGCCATAGAGGGGTCCTTCTCACCGTTGCGTATTAGGCCAGTACTCCCTCAGATATTAAGGTGGAGGGAGCACAGAATTGGCCGCTCTAGAGTGACGTCAAAGTTGCATGAATTCCCATCTGACTGTCCAGACTATCGGATTTGGATATATATATATATTAGTATGCATGCTATAAATGCTTTCTGGGAAGAGCTGGCTGCTTCAGGGTGGCTGCTGCCACCACTGCAAGATGCGACCATCATCGCTAGTGTGACAGTGTTTCTGTCCTCGATTGTCAAGTCAGATCAGAAGATGGTCCAATTATAAAGGCACTTTAGGGTGAAATGGTGCCAGCCTTGTTCGATTAGGATTTGCACTTCGCACTACTTATGGAAAAATGTTATTTGATTGTGCAGAGTTATTTTCCCGTACTTGTCTGAATGTTTTGGCCTACAAAATGCCAGAGTCTGAATGGGTTCCCAGAAAAATCAAGGCATACAGGTTCCGTAAAGTACAAGAGTTATAAATCCTTGGTTATCGTGGCTACATGATTAAAATAAAGACCAGCGTGTATCGACAGCACACGTCTTCCTTAAGGAAAATGAACCATCCCCTTGTGAATAGTGGATTCCTACCTGTGCTTCAGAAGCACATTCTTCCTGTTACATCACTATCAGATCCTTTTTAGTAATTTATTAAATCTTTCTCCCTTTTATAACACTGATGTCGTTCTAATTTGCCTTTTCTGTGTCATCTGTCTTTTCCCAGGCTTACCTGACAGACTTCCTGACACAGTTCGCCCAGCAGCCATGTTACAGCATGTTCTCAGGCCATCTCAACACCGCCGAGAGACAAACCCTGCAGTCTATAGGCCTCTAGTCCCATCGTCTGCCACTGCTAAAACTCTCTCCTGTTGCCCCATCACTTACGCTCTCATGATGAATATTTACGACATAGCAAAGAAAAAAAGGAGAGACAAACTTGGGATGACAGGCCTGGCAGAGGAAGGGACTGGGGTTAAAAGAGACGGACATGCACTTAACCTTAAGTCACCTGTTTTCTACATACTTGTGATGGGATGAAGGAGATGTTAAACTGAGGAAGATGAAGAGGTGAGAGACTGCACAGGTCTGTTCCTGAAGAAGGTCAGAGGACTCACCATTTTTAGAGTAATTTCAGAATGGACGAGAGAACTGAATAAAAAGGTTGAGGCTTCACAGTGGGACCGGTGAACCGCAAAATATGAACGGACTATTTTGCCATGTTCTATTTGTAACTTAGGCCGTTATTTTTGTGTTTCTGTATAAACAGAGTAAAATGCAACATGGAAAACATATCCAAGAGAGTTTACATTGATTGAAGGAAAGTAAAAAATAAAAACGACAAACATCCTGATCTTTTGGAGAGGGAGAGAAACGTTTGGCGGCTCAGAAAATGTCGACTGTTTTCTGACAGGAAATGAAAAGGTCTCCGACCGGCTGTCAGGTCTGTGGGTACGGTGGGTATTTGGGAATTCACACTGTTGCCATGGTGATTCACAGCCTTGTCATTTCCTTGTACCCATTGAAATTTGGGATGGAAAAAATTTCTAAATAAAAGTCCTGAAAGGACAACATTTCCAGATTGATTTCCAGGTTCTTCTCTTGTCTCCCTGAGCTGGGAATAATAAACATGTCTTTTTAATAACTTTTTTTTAATGAAATCTGAAATTTTAAAACTCAAATATACATGCTGTTTCCTCAAGGGGAGACGATCAGTCTTCATGCTGCCTCATCTTACTGGGCTGCATACATTTATGAGCAGTCTATGAACATTTAATGTAAATAAAATTACATTTATTAGTGTTGATGTGCAGTATTTGGTAACAATTATAAATTCTCTATGAACACATTTTATTACAACTGTGTTGTATAACTATTGTCATATACAGCAGCCTCTACATGGGTAGACATGGGAGCAGTTCCACTTGTTGACAAATACATTAATACGATCTAATAAATGCTAAATAGAGGGACCTAAAGTAAAATGTTAATGTCCTGCTGACATCCTTGGGACAGATGACACGCACGATAAAAGTGGTGAAAATAACCCATCAGAAAACTATGAGTTGCTCAAATTTTTGTTTAATACGGTTTTATTTACTGATAAAGCTGGAGAAGGGGGCGCTATAACTGTTAGAGATGAATTGCCTTAGATATATATAAATGGACCGTTTCCAGTTTAAGGATATGCATTATATTCTTTATATAAGCTTATCTCTAACATTTAAGGTTTTATGGGAACAATTGTCAGCAGAAAGTGGCCAAAATACAAAAAAAATTACACTAATTAAATTGTAACAGTTTGTACTGGAGGTAGAGCCTTGATGTCTGCTGTTAGATGTGGTGAGACACGGCACAGTACTTGAGACCTGGACAATTAAGACCGATCACATAATACAGTCTGACAGGCCTTGAATAGCTGTAACCATAGGTCTTCCATTATTAATTATAATGAACCCACAGTGTGGTTGAAAGAAGAAAATCAGAAGGATTAAAACAAGCAGCTTCAAGGCCCTGAACTGAAAAAAACTTGCCTTGAACACCCACACAAGTGTTTCCACCTATTCCAGCTAATTAGACCTCTGATTAGGTTAAAGTTTCAGATGTCCACAGAATACACTTTTGACTTCTCACAGTAGGAAATAATAAAAGTAATGATGGCTGAATTCCATTTAGCTGCTTCACTTCCAGACTCCTTCCTTGTGCATGCTGACTTACTGGGACATCCTTAATGTTATTAACACCTGCAGTTTTCCTACTATGAGGAGTATAAATGTAGTTGGGACCAAAAAGCTTATGATATAACTGAACTACAGTCTGCACCTGGCCACACACCTCAGTTTTTCATGTTTAAATGCAGGACACCTCTGAACATATGACAGGCTGCAGATTTCCCTCAAGGAGGCGCTCTTAGCATCTCGCTTTCCTTTGCAATCACCATGCCTTCAACAAATATATATATATTTAAACGTATGGTTTTCCCCGTGATATTTAATTTCCCAACGACTCGGGAAACTCCTTTTACACTTCCCTCTCACATCATGAGAAGCTGTTTTCTTCATCAGCTGCATGCTAAAATCCTTCTGACCATGCCAAGACTTTCTCCACCAGGGCGGGGTAGGGAGGGAGGAGAGGAGGGCAAGCTGACCTCTCAAGGTGCGTTCTGTGCTTCTCGTAAATGTGACTGACGTGTAGACATTGAGCTGTAGTGACTTTCTAACCTACAGGCTAATCTTATTAAGTGACATTATTACTGTATTAACAGCCAAATCAGTATTAAAAAGTAATAGTATTTACTGTGTATAATGGTGTTATATATTATAGAGTTATTATCACTGATGCGTTAACTAAATCCTAAATACCTCATTTTGCTGTGCAGTCTGAATATTAAAACATCTTTCTAGTTTAAAAATGTAAAACTGAAATCAAGAAATGAGTGTGCATCTTCATACTGTTTTAAATTAATTTGCATTCATCTGACATATTCCTATAAGGATATAAGATTCACCTTCTATATTAAAAATTACTTGATAAGAGGGAAATCTTATTTTAAAAGCTGCATGTCTATGCACATAAAATGTGTAAAAATCTTTTTATATACAGTCTATGGTAAAAATAAGTACAAATTAATCTCTGAAATATTGTGGAGTAGACAGTAGTTTGCTATGAGGTATAAAGTAGCAAATACTGAAGTAAAACACAAGTACCTCTAAACTATACTTAATTACATTACTACAGTATATGTTATGTTACTGAAATCAGTGCCAGCGTTACTACAGTTTCACTGTCCTTTGCACAAATACACGACTTTGCCTACGAAACGGTCTGATTCTTCACGAACTCTGAACCATTAGATTTTTCCCGACGGTCCGGGAAGGCACCATCCTGCTTGTCCCGGTTCAGAGGCGTCACAGCCGCGATGTGTCATTTCGACAGATAAATCACCGATCCAGTCGCGCGTGCTGCTCCTGAGCCTGGATAATGTCTGAGCGCGGCCGTTAGTCTGATCATTCTTGTTTGCTTTCACCGATGACAACAACCTCCTTTTTAAGAATCTCGTCACTTGCTTTGAATCGGGATGCGGATGATCTTTCCAGCGGGCAACATGTCCCTCATCGCCCTGACTTTGGCGCTGCTCACTATCGTCCTCTGCACTTCTCAGGGTAAGATAACGGCTCTCCGTACAGGCCGGGCGCCGCTAGCTAACGGTAGATCCCCGCAAACGTCTTCTCTGCGTGCACGGCCGTTATTCATTCCAGCCGTTACACCTAGACTCCGCCGCGGTCTCTGCGTCGTCCTGCAGCTCCTCAGCAGTCAACACGACGTCCTGCCGTTGTTTACTTGTTTTGTTTCAGGCCTGGATAACTGTAACGTTAAATAAACCGGTCACTGTCCGGTGTCCGACCACATTTAGCATCCATTTGTTCAGTCTTCCGTGAACTAGTCTCACTGGTTTTTGTGTTTGTTTGAAAAAAATGAAAATTGAAATAGCAAAAATATATTGCTAGCTAATGTTGTTATTGTTTATTGTTAGCCTGGTAGTAGGTTTGACGTCATAACTCCCTCTTGTTCTCAGGAATGAAAGAATAAGGATACCAAAATGTCTTTATTCTCCAACACAAAGTAACGTTAGCTAACGTTAGTTAGGCTTAACGTTAACAGCTCTGCATACACTTAGCTAATTCAAGCCTTACATCCAGTCAGTCAAACTTTATAGAACATTTTATTCAGGTTATTGCAATTCAAAGTGATAATATAGCCTAAACAGTACAGTACAGTACAAAAGTACAAACTGATGTAACTCTGAACTATTGTGAGGAATTATGTTTTATAGTATTGTTTTTTTTTATTGATGTCAGTATATTTAATTATTTCAAGGTGATATGTTAGTTACAAAATATTACAAAATCACAAAACTAGTTCAAATATAGTTGTTATTCAACAAGTTAAGACGCTTGACCAAGACACCATTGTGACAACAAAGCAGTTTTAAGACAGTCTGCATAAAGTACACTAAACAATATTAGTACTAGAGACAAATATAGATCTAATAACAAGGCTTATATCAAATGGCAGAATAAGTATTCTTGATGCCAACACCCAAAAGGTCGTCATCATCCAAAATTAGTTTAGACCATTTCAGGAGCCAGTTCTATAGATCTTGGCAAAACGCTGCAGACGTCATCTAATGGAGCTTTCATCAGTTTAAAACGCTCAGACAAGGAACATCAGCTCTCTGAGGACAAACGTGTTTAACTTACAGGTCAGTGTGACTTATAAGCTCACATGTGGCTGTTGTGCCCAGGCTGTCATTTAGTGTGGCTTAAATTCTACATTGTGGAAAACATAATCACACCTTGCAACCCATTTTAGCACTCACTATCTATTTATTCTGATGAAAGACAGTGTACTGCACCCAGTCTGTATGTGCACTTTTTTTCTCCCAAGAGACCACATAACTATAACATCACACATCTGAGTTATTTCTTCGGTTTTGTTTCATTTCTGGCTTTAGAAGAGTTGATCATCTGTACAAGTGTTGATTGATTTGTTCTTCAATCAAAAATATATTTTTAATTAATTAGAGCAGCAACAATTAGTTTTCCATTTTTTTCACTGTGTTCTGATGTTTTATAGTCAAAACAATTAGTTGATTAATAGTAAAAAGTATTGATAATAAAAATAATCCATAGTTGCATCCTAAAAGGAATAAATTGACTCCTTTTTGATATCAGACAGATGTTACACAGGTATTAGAACCGACCGATTTATCGTTTTGCAGATATTATCGGCCGATATAAGCTACTTGCAGATATATCTAGAACAGCTTTTATAACAGCCGATATATGACCATAAAAAAGAGAAAAAGAGAGTCCAATCCTTCCCTCATGTCATGAATGTTGCATAGTTTGCCCACAGAACAAAACATTCGGTGTTCCTGGTGAGTTAGTCTTTTGTCACGTCAGTTACATGGCTTAAATAATAATAAAAATAGCCCTCATCTAGGGCTGGACGATATGGGCAAAAACGTTATCACGATAAAAAGTTTCATATCTTTCGATATTGATCATTATCACAACAAGTATCAGATCGTTAATTCTTTTGAGTTTAAGGGCTGATTCTTGCTCCTGAGTGAAAGTTGAAGAAACCTGATGGTTATTGTGGTGTTAAACTCTTGAGGCCAAACAGTGGATCACTTCACAAATCTGAGGTAGAACATTCAAACAATTATGATAAGATCTTTGTCAACAAATATGCATGAGTAAAATTAAGTAAAAGCTTTTATCAGTCCTTTTTCCTCAACAAAATAAAAATCTTAATTAAAAAATTAAGCCCTAATTAGTGTATGATTCAAGTGAATAAAATCAAACATGTGTTGAATGTTTATTGAACATTTGTTATATTGTTATTGAAAAAAATTATATTGCAATAATTATTGTTATTGTTTTATTGTCCAGCCCTACCCTCATCACTTTTTCTCTTCGGAGACCAGACTCCCGTTTTTCACTGCCCTCTCCAGGCTGAGCAGTGTGTTTAATATTACTGTAACCTAGTGTTGGAGGCTACGCTGCTGACAGACGTGATTGTAGATTTATTTCTGAAGCAGTTTGGCAGTTCTACCGACCGGTCCTCTCGTTTCTCTCTAATTTATTACTTCAAAATAATTTCTAACATCGCCAACAGTAGATAAAGCTGCCTGTTGCTAAATTAGCCACAAAGCTAATGCCGTGTTTATCAATTGAGGAGGCTAACATTAATGAGCGATTAAACTGTAGTGTCTCTAGTTACAGTCGGCGTGTCAGAAATGATTAAACCAGAGGGGACTTGTTAACAAACGTGAGCTGTAAAAGTATCTAACACACAGTTGCGAGTCCTTGTTGTAGAGAGTCATGTAGTATTAGATTAAATCAAGGGCAGCGTTTCCTCTGTATCAATGTATCATGGAAGTGTGTTAGGAAATCGTTTCTGTAGCATTGGATAGAATTAACAGAGTGCAGGTGATAAACTAGATGTAGAAAGTAGTCATAGTGGCAGATTATATGTAAGGTAATAACTACTGCATGACTATATATATATATATATATATATATATATATATATATATATATATATATATATATATATATATAATTATTTGCTTATGTAGGAGAGCCCTGTTTATCATTATTATGATAGCAATGACATGAGAGATGATATATGGTAATATTAATTAATATAGTATTACTATATTAGTATTTTTTACAGTTTCTGTTTTGCTGGCCCCCACAATACATACACTATTTAATTTAATGTTCATTAGTAGTAGTGATATAATTTTAAAAATATAAAAATTTTATTTATACATTTGACTCTTATCAAAACTTTAATATATTTTGTTGTACTTTTGTTCAAAATACTATTTCTAACAATAACAAATTATTAATTTATTTTTAAACTGCATTATGTCATGGTATCTTGGTGAGGTCTCAACATAACAAATGTTAGGGATAATCTTTGTTTATGTTATGCGTTTCTTAAAATAAGGGGGGGGGGGAGAACATCGGCCGAGATATTGGCTGACAGACTTTGTATATTATCGGATTTTAAAATCTTCAAATATCGAAATCGGTTTTTGCTACTGAGTGAAAGTTGAAGAAACCTGATGGTTAAATGTGGTTTAAACCCGTCTTTATGGTCAACACACAAATCTGAGGTAGAACATTCAAAACTATTATGATAAAATCTTTTTCAACACATATGCATGAGTAAAATTCAGTAAAAGCTTTTTTTTCAGTCCTTTTTCCTCAACAAAATAACCATCCTAATAAAAAATTAAGTCCTAATTTGTGTACGATTCAAGTGAATAAATAAATAATAATAAATAAAGTCAAACATGTATTGAATGTTTGTTGAACATTTGTTATATTGTTGTTGAAAAAAATTATATTGCGATAATTATTGTTATTTATTGTCCAGCTGTTTTATATATATATAAAGACAGAGAGAGAGAGAGAGAGAGATGTGAAGAAAGAAGTACAGTACAAATAACAAAGAAAGAAGTATCTGTAAGTGAAGAATCAATAATTTCCTCTCTGTGAAAATGTTTGATAAAAGAGAAACAACAGTTGTCAGTAAAACTGAGAGATTGTAAGGAGGGGGGAAAAAGTCTTTAGATAACAAAATGAAGTCTGACCTGCTGCTTCCCTCTTGTCTTTACCCTCTTTGAACATCTTCCCTGTAGGGTCACCCTGCCTCACACTCTGTATTGCGTTTCTTTTGCAGTCAGTGGGAACGAGGACTGTCTGTGGTACGTTGATAAAAATGGCACCTGGCACAATGGCTTCGACTGCCCGCTCATCACGTTCTGCTGTGGGAACTGCCACCGGCGCTACTGCTGCCTGGACGCCTTTAAGATGATCACAGAGAGGGAGCAGAAACGCTGCATGCTCTTCCAGTTCAGGTGGGGGCATATCCTTCATTTCCGTAAGACAAACAGATTCTTTAACATCCTGCTAGAAGAAATGTGTTGCAACAGTCCACACCAAAAAATTCCTTCCCTGCAAGATGCAGGCATTTGTCTTCATTTGAAAAATGTTAGACTAATCACTAATAAACATAGTTACAGCCATTTATTTTACTAAAGGCAAACGATTAAAGCATAAATTGGCAATATATTTAGCATTCACAACATATGCTTTTTATGTATGCATTATTTTTGTATTGCATTATAAGGTAAATGTCATATAATATACTATATGTAGCTTTGCCTACATTTTCCCTCCCAAAACAAAAGAATGAAATGTGTTACAAAATATTTTTAACCCCCAAGCTCCAATTACTGGCTTTTCTTTAGCTTTCAAACGCCTTTCATGTTCGTCACGCATCATTATGTGACCAAGTGTGGGATTTTGGTCATGTGATAACACAAGTGGTCACTTTGTCACACATACTGTTCCTGAGGTTTAGAACAAACTTATGTTGCTTTAGGTTCTTAATAATTTCCTTTTGTTGAGTCTCAAAATCTGTTTACAGATCACATTTACTGAAGACAAAAAGAATAACTGATGAAACAAATGCAATGTTTAATAAAATGTGATATGAGTGCCAAAATACCATTTAAAATGAAATATCGTCGTGCTGCAGAAATATCCTGGCATACGCATCATCATATTATAGAGACTTGAGAAAACATCTATGTTTGGTGCAGATCCACACAAAATCACCCCAACATTCATTTTAATATGTTTTTCAATTAAAATGAGAATAAAAATGATCATTCCCTCTAGTATCGCAAATCATGTCGAAATTGCAAAATCAGTCAAAATAATCACAATTAGATTTTTTTTCCAAATCGTTTAGTCCTAATTATTAAATACAAATATTATACTTGAAGCAGTGGAATTTGGTGATGGGTTAAAGTTTCTTGTGTGTGCTGATAGCAGCGTTAGCTAGACATGTTAACATTAAACAGTTACAGCACTTCATGGTATTTGCATTGTGGGATGATTATGTTATGTGAAAGAATTTTAGTGGAAACAAAAATTGTCTATAAACCTATAGAAAACATTGTCCACCATCACCCTGCATTTTACCAGCAATTTCTGAAATAAGTCCAAAGCCTACACACTAGGGCTGGGTGATATGGACAGTTTTAGAGGGCATTTGTAGTAACTTACCTTTTTTCTTATTTCATTATTTTAATTCTACTTCATTCTCCATCTTAAGTGTCACTCACTTATAGAATCCACCTCCTTCAGTTCTCTTCACACTCACAGACCTAACGTACCACTGCTACAAACACGTTAGCGTGCCCCGCTTCTTTCCGTCTCTCTCTCTCTGTATTATATCTGCTCCAGTGACTTTGTCCATCAGTAGTAGGCTACCTTGTATAAAGTCGCCGAAAAAAAACAATACTTGTCTTCTGGACTTTTCTACACACAATTCTGTTCACAGGAGCAGCTGCGCCGCATGTTGAGGAGGCGTGTTGATGACGTAGCCTATCAAAACAAAACCAACGTGGTAGCTGACGAATGACATCTGACCATCTAACTGGTGTGTTCACTGTTGCTGTACTTGGTCCGCTCTTGTAAAACATCCACCGTGTTGCGACTTGTAACGTAATCGCTGTGTTTCTCTGATAAATGCTACAATGTGTCGCCTAAACTGGGCGGACCGCCGAAGTAAAGTGTATGTGTGGGAAACACTGACTAAACCATTGTTATTTTTTTACAAGCCAGGTCTTCAGCAGTGTCTCCCTCTATGTTGTTCATGTTTGTAAGTAGACGACTGCGTGCAGACGCACAGGGAGGGGAGGGGCGGCGTGGCAAGAGAAAAAGAGAGGAGCAAACTTTGGCAGGACTTTCCGGAAACATATTAATTAACTCAACATCAAACTATATCGGTATAAACGGTATTGTCTAATTTTATATCCTTTGAAATTATATTGGTATATCTCATTATACCGATAGAGCGCCCAGCCCTACTACACACTCTTAAACCGGCATGATCCCATGTCCCATTGGCTGCGTTTGACTAAATGACCCTGTTTTGGTCCCCACAAGTGCGATCAAGTGTTTTTATTAGTCGTTCTATCACATCAGCTATGTGTGCTTTCAGTGGTGTTAAATGCCAGGGAGCTGCTTTCAGTGGTGTTAAATGTGAGGGATCGTGATAATGCTGGACTAAGCAAGCTTGCACCTGAGAGACTGCAACATGATAGTTTTCCTCCACAGCACTTCCATCCATCACTATCTAGTAGTGAGCAGAGAACCTGCAGCTTATAAAACCCAACGGGAGATCACATCAGTGGGTGGCGGAGGCTGAGCTGAAGTGGAGGGCTTTCTTGTGTTACTGAGACATTGAACTGATGGAATCTGGTAGAGAGACGAGACGCGCGGGGTGTACGTCATTAACTCAGATGCGATTTCAGGGTCAGTTTGTGAAAAACAGTGTGTCTGAATCAAAAGCTCAACATCACAGCCTTCTCTGCTTTAATCCTCTCTAAAGTGAGTCGCAATTAGCAAAATTAAGGAGGGGGAACAGCGTGGGGTGAGATGATCAAAGTGAGGAAAGGCTTTGTAACTTAAGTCCTATCCTTTCTCTCTTCTCAGTCCCACCACTTTAGCTGGCATTGCTTCCTCCATCCTCCTGTTTGTGGCGATCATTGCGACCATGGTCTGCTGCTTCATGTGCTCCTGCTGTTACCTCTACCAGCGAAGGCAGCAGAGGGGCAGGACACCTTATGATGGTAAGACCTTTACTTTTCATGTCCAGGCTTGTGTAGACAGCCCTATATTTACCGTTTTCCTTCACAGCAGTTGGTACTTTTTGACCCACAGCCCAGCAGATCCCCATGGCCAGTTACCCAGTGGAGCCCATGTATGACGCTTATGGAAAACCACTGGGACCCTCTGAGTATCTACATGCAGCTTATCCAATGGCGCCCCAGTACCATGGCATGCCCCCACAGTACCCAGTGATGCAGCCTGGACCTTATCCACCTCACCTGATGGATCCTGCATACAGCCAGGGTAAGATAAAGTCCACATTTTGTTGATTTTCAATATAAATTGCTCTCTTGCTCTGATGACAAAATATAGTCTTTAAAATACTCAAAAAAAAAGACTAGAAATACATGCATACATTGGTAGGGCAGTACCAAATGTCTATTTGTGTTGTTTTTTATTTAAGCTTCTATTAGGTTTACGATTTAAGCTTTGAATGTCTTTAGTAATATTTTGGCTTGAATTGGTCTTTTTTAATGAAATCAACTCTTTAATGAATATAACTGGTTAGTTATGGTGATGTGAGATAGCTACTAGCCCGCCCCGTTACTGCAGCTGCGTGCCTCCCTATGTGTATGGCAAGTGGGAGAGAAAAAAGCTTTTGGACCGCTGTGAAAATGTTGTTTTTAAAAGGCATAAGCCTTTTAAATATGGGTTGAAGCAGAAAATTTTGTTGAATAAAAACTTGATGTGAATTTTGGAAATGATTACATCCATCTTTTTTCACTAAATTGTGACTTTTGGACTTTAACATGATCTGGAGTTACATGTTTGGACCGTATCCAACCGTAAATATCTGCAACCTGTTGGGTTTTTTGGGGGGGGGGGGTTTCATTTTATTTGACCAATTTAATGGTCTGCCTCAAAAGAACAAGGGAGAGTGGGTTAACCCAGAAGTACAAAGAGGCCAGAAACAGAAGAGAGAGGCAGCAGGGAACAGTGTGTAGAGTTCTGCCAAATGAGAGTTAGTGAACAGTGGAAAGACTAACCAAGACAGTTTGGTGAGTTTTTTATTTTAGGCCGCCGCACACATGCCTGCACAAATATATTACCAGCTGTTGGGCTGACGGTTGGAAAATTCTACCTTAACCTCATTACAGCATCTCAGTATCATTTTAGTAGAAATATCAGCATCTGTATTTTTGACGGTATTGAAAATTATAGCTTTCAGGATTTCTAAATACCTTGATATACTGTTAATACTTTGATACTGCCCATGCCTATGACACAATCCCTGCTAGAGCCAAAATATTATTGTACACAGAGAGAAGCATGAATAATAGTTACTTAGAATAGCGTTTTTGTGTTAATTGTCCTGTTGACAGCAGAGAATTAATAAGGTGTTTTTTTGTTTTTTGGGTCCTTTGAATAAGATATTTTAATAACCATGGGACAGATTGCCATGAAAGCTATTGAGGATATTTATGGTCCACTGGGATGTTAAGGTGACCCTCTGAGCTCTCCTGTAGCACCAACATCAGGTCAAAATCTTCACAAGAAATATAAAAAACTTTTTTACGCTTTCTGTTTTGGGCACCATCCTCTAGCACCAGCACCGGTTGAAAATTTCAACTTTGATTTGACCATGAAATTTGGTGAAATGTGCACGTTGCAGTGGCAGTTTTAATTCTGGGATGGATTGTGGATGAATTCTATTGAATGATTATTTTTTCTGTTTTTAATTTATTCTTAACATAGTCGGTCGCAGTGTATGAAGATCTGACTATGTTTTATGTTTCTACCTACTTATTTTTCAGCCCCTCCACCTTACTCTCCACCTCAGTATCCTGGTCATTGATGGGCTCGTCTTCATGCGCGCGTGCACACACACACACACACACACACACACACACACACACACACTGTGGTAAATAAAAGCAACTGAGAGAAACGACTGTTTCAAGCGGAGAAGGCAGCAACGCTCTCTCACACGCACAAACACATACACTCAAATATACACTACAGCTTGACTAGCAGTGGTTTGCCTGTGAAAGAAAACAGGAGGCACTTTAAGGTTTTTGTTTGTTTGTTGTTTATTTACAACGTTGTCCTACTTTTCTGGAGTGTTTACACAAGTCAAATTCTGTTCTGCAACCTGACGCCTGATTGCTGCTGGCGGGTTTCAAAGAGGGCGTCACACCATCTCCAAAGTGAGGAGGTATCCGTCTGGCTTCTCGACTCTGTGCTGCCACTTCTGCTCTGACACGCTCACCTCAATGACAGTGTCACCTGAAAGACAGGGCTCATTACCTTACAGCAGAGGGGTCAGAAGGGATTTACGTGAAAAAATGATAATGCACTCCCTCTTTATTTATTAAAAGGGGGAAATGCTTATCTCCCTCACTTTTGTTAAATTTGAATAAATTGGTAACTACCTAAGGCGACATTCCAGGTCATATCAGTCATTGATCAACATTTTCCAAATATGATGACAAGTTTTTATCTCTGTATTTGATGGGGGGGGGGTTTCGTAATGTGTTAGAGGATAAAGGTAAAAACAAATTGCACATTTGATTAAAAAGCTGTCATGTATGGCTCAAAGGCAGCGTGATACTGTCTTAAACTTTCTCAGATGGCTTAAAGGATTTTATGGTACTTCTAATTCTGTGTAAGCATTTAGTCTCCTGCTAAGTTCAACTCTACTTTTTTGTATCTGACTCGACTAATTTATTTCATGGTAGTATCTTAGCTTGCCCCATTGTAATCCCATTGTTACATCTTGATATCAGCATGCTACCCCCCAGTCAAAGTTAAATCTGTCCTCTCACGCTTTTTTTTCTGGTTTTAAATGAATTAAAAATCAGTCTTCAGATGAATCCCATAATGCCAGGTAGGATGTTTTTATACAGAACATTCCATGTTAAATGTTTATTTCATGTAACATATCAGTCGGTCGGTGCAGCTTGATTAAAACAAAATGTCCCGCCTTAAAATAGTTGGAGGATAAAAGAAATTTAATATTTAAATACATATTTTGTAAATCTGTTCTTCATCTGAATATTTTATGATATTCTAACATAATGTATTGTTAATGTAACATAAGATATGACGTTTTAGCATTTGGCACCTTTCCATTAGGTAGTGTTGTCCTTGAATTTAACTTTTACTGTAAACGGGTTCTCACTTTGTGGAAAGCTACAAAGCCAAAAATCACTACTGTTGAAAAAATTGATTTTGTCGACCACCTGTTTTTAAAGCAGCAGTTTGACATTTACGGAAATGAGGTTATTTTCTTTCTTGCAGAGAGTTACATGAGGAGATCAATACCAATCTCTTGTATGTGGTAAATATATAGCTAAGCTAACTTTAGCTGTTAGCTGAAGTCAGCAACTGGTTAGCTTAGCTTAGCAACAGGCTAAGATAGACAGGAAACAGCTAGCTGGCTCTGTTCTGAGATAATAGCTCACTAATTAACTTTATATCTTGTTTGTTTAATTTGTACAAAAGTAGAAAAATTGACAAGTTGCAGTTTTATGGGAGATTATGTGACCGAATAGGTTTCTTTCTTTGCTGTGCTGGGAGACCAGTGGAATCCGGCACATGTAAAACAGCGAATTGTGTTTTTTCCACTCTGGTTTTAGTATGGATTAAATCGACCTGTTAATTAGTGAGCTTTTGAGGTGCTAGTAGATGGATTTTGTCACATTTTGACAGCCAGAGTAGTTTTTTCACCACCCTTTCCTGTCCTTGTGTTAAGAAAGCCGGTTGCAACTAGAGCAGCTAATTAGCTAACTTTTTTGACTTAGCTAACTACATTTACGACACATACCTGAGTAATCAGTCTTCTCATCTCTGTCTTAAGAAAGCAGATAACCCAGGGGTACTTCCCAATATGTCTTTTTTTATTTACAGATTTGGGCTCCAGTGAGGTCAGGGCCTGTAACCTGTAATTAATCTGTAGTATGTTATGCCCCTTAATAATAAAATAATATGATTGATTTCTCAGGCAGTGTTGTACAGTTAGCTGGCTGGCCTGGACTACTTTAATTAAAGTGTAATTTATCTCCAACTTTAAGTCAAATGAGACACAAACAAGACAAGACACCTTTTACCGGCTATTACAGCGTAATTGTTTCTTCCTATGGTGACATCCATATGTAATGATTTGTTGAGCCATTGTAAAGCACAAAGAGAAAACTGGATGTTTCTTCATAAGATGCTTTCATATGTAGTTCAACATAACATTTGCTCAATGATGTTTAGGTTTATTTGTGCTTCTGAACCAACTCCATGAGTGTGTTTAATGACCTGACATCAGTTGGCAAAATAACTTTTTGTCTGTTGTCTTATGGATGGTATGACATTGTCATATTAAGTGAGTGAAAAGTTCTTATTTCTATTAACATAAAATTTAACTTTGGAATGTAAATGTGGATGCTGTGTCTTTTTTGTTTCCAAGAAATATAATTATAAAACCTTTGAAAATAGGGTCAGTATGTGTTAACATCATTCTGACCACTAGGTGTCCATATTAACCTCCAAACAATGTTTAATGTGTTCAGATGTTGAGGCAGAATTGATTAATTTCACTGTCATCACAAGCAGCATCTAATCCATAAGAAATGTGTGCCCCTAAAAAGACTCATTGTTATTTACAAATTATTATTTGTATATTGGCGCAAGATTTTAGTGTACAGTTTGCCTTACAGCTGTGACATGTAGATTTTACATTTTTTTGCAAAATACACAGCACCTCCACACACCAGGCCAATAAACATTAAGCATTTTATATTTACCTTACATGTATATTTCCTTTTATGTTTGAAGTTCTGGCTGTTATATATATATTTTTTCTAATTGTCAAATTAACCCTTACTCTAATGTTTTTATTATATGATATTACATATAATTATTTATTTTATTGAAAATGAAAATGAAACTGAACAAATGATTGACAATTGACTTTACACAATTACTTGTAGTAAATAGTTTTTAACCTAATATATGATTTGTTCTGCTTTAAAATACCAAGTTTCTTTATTTTAGTGCCTTTGATGTAATAAACAGTGGGATAATGTTCTTTATTCTTTATTGCACACTAGGCTTTTAGGACATCCTCGAGCCACCTTACATTTCACTGCACATATGTACTGACCATGTCAATCTTAACACATAATTCATCTGTTTCCCCCTAAATCATTGGTCTGCTGGTGTTATTGAGCCACCAGTAAAAAACAAAGTTTTGTCGGGGGGGTTAATTCAAGCAACTAGGAAATAGGAAAAGTTCATAAAAACACCTCTTACTGTGGCAGAAAATCTAAATTCCCAGCTGTTAAAATTAGAGTCGTAACTAAACAACTCAATATAAACATGAATTGTGTAATAGGAAGTCTGTGTAACTCTGCTCTGGCAGCTCTGTAAACTTCAGCCCTTCCCATTACCTTTAAAGGAGTGTGCACCCTGAACTAAATATGGAAATGCACTTTAACAGGATTTCAAAGAATGTCCCAGCCTCACAGTCCACTTTGATGATGCGAGGATCTTGCAGTTCATCACTGGTACCCCTCACTGCAAGACTGAGTCCACCCTCTTTGCACCAGGATTGATGCCTCCGGTGGCTTTTTGGTGAGCGAGACACGACGGGGCAGCAGGACACCAGCTTTGGCCTATGGGAATCCTCAACTTCTCACCATAGGAGAGAAATTCAGCAATAATCAGAATTTAAATAAAGGGATTTACTATACTAACACCATCAGCGCCTCCAAAGACACCGAATTTTTCTATTCTTCTCCACGGTCGTAGCCTTTACCCCAGATTTTTTAGGCAACAATGTCCAGGAGAAAGGTGAGAGGCCTGACCCGTACGGGCCGTCAGGTCAGCGAGGACCCAGACCTGGACAACCTGCTTTCCACCCTCTCCCCTGAAGAGATGGAGGAGCTGGAGAAGGACATGATGAAAGTGCCAGATCTCAACCCAGATGATGGGAAGATCATCATGCAAGGGGAGAGCCAACCAGCGCAGCCACCTACGAGCAACAATGTCCGGGACGCTAAACTGGACAGCAGAGGGGAGAGTGGCCCTAAACGGAGGCTCAGTCAGAGGGACCAGTCATTTGAGGTTTGTGAATGCTTGATTGATTCCATATCTGGTAGTACATTGTTTTGGATTTGATGTAAAAGAAACACCGATTAGTGTATGATCTATGTATGATCTGCATGTTTTTTAAGCCCCATTACTCTCTTGAGATGTTTGTATGTGAACACTTTTTAATAAAAAATGGCCTGCAGACTTTCAAAGAGTTAAGAAAATCAAACAACTATGTTTGCCCTTATGACCAACAGATTACAGCATTATGTAACATCCACTGTCCCCATGGTATCTAATGATAGCTTTTTATTTAGCTTGAACCAAACCGCCAACTGATCCCAGTGCACCCCAAGTCCAACAGCTCATACAGAGTGTAGAGTTGGCTTCTGTGCCAGGAAAAATATTGTTTTCCCCTCTGGGGCTTGCTTACATAAAGTCCACATTTTTAAGCATCTTCTCACAAGCGACCGCCTCAGAAACACACCAAACCATTTCTTTTATTCCTGTGACATGCTATAAAAGATTTTTGAGCCCTCCTTGGTTGAGTGTCAGGGAGCCAGATTTCTTGCAGTTTGTGTGTTTAAAGGAGAGACACTTCAGTCGATGGCGCTCCGGCCCTGTGGAGCTTCTTAATCCCGGCCTGATGGAATTCCTTGGTTGATTGCTCCTACGCTCACTGCCTTTTAAGGATACATCTGCCAGGGCCACGGCTGCACACAGCAAAACAGATAGAGACTCACAAATCAAACACTTGATTTGACGCAAGCTACTTGCTGCAAATATATCCCTATAAGAAATGGTTCCTTGTCCATTTGCTGACTGTAAACACACATGCCATATTGTGTCAGGCAGAGTGTGTGTGTTTACAGTGAGCAGATGGACGAGGAGCTGTTTGACAGTAAAGGGATACAGTATTTGCACGGGTATTTGTAGGGTTCGGTGCTATATCATACAGTAAAGTCATGCATTATATACTGGAGCCAATGAATTATTTCAGCTATGCAACTTCATGGCACTACATCCTTTGACACACTGCACAAGGATGTTTGATTAAATCTATCATTGTTTGCTATTGGTGTAAGCATATATTTATTTTACTTTACTTTCTGACACAACGCTGATATGATTCTCCACATCACAATCCTCATATTCGTCCTCCTGCAGGGTGAGCTGAAAAAGGAGAGCCGGAAGCAGGAATATCTGAGGAAGATGGGCCTGAGCCAGGAGGGGAATGACGACATGAAAGTAGGGTTACGAAGACAAGCCAGTATGTCAGCTGAAAGAGATATTAAGGTGGACGACAGAAACAGCAAAAGCCCTGAAAGTTCCAAAGAGGCACAAAGTCGGCTTTCGAGTAGATACAGGAAGCAGGAAAGCAGAGAGAGTGGCGTGAAAGAGGAGGTGAAAGAGAAACATGAGGACCATAACGTAAGAGACAGAAGAGAAAACAGAGAGAGCACAGGTAGCAAAACGAAGGATATGATCTCTAAGCTACAGGACAAAAAAGATGACAGAGAGAAGGAGAGAAGAGAAGACAGCAGGAGAAAAGATGACAGTAAAACCAAAGACATTATCTCAAAACTACGAGAAAAACAAGAAAAGGATGTGGGCAAGGAAAAGGAGAGAAAGTCGGAGAGTTTCAGGACACAAGGACTTGTCTCTAAAATGTTGGAGAAGCAGAGCAAGGTAAAAGAAAGTCAGACTCCAGAGAGTAGATCAGAAGAGAAGAAGCCTAAAGCAGAGGAGAAAAAAGCTGAAGATAAAAACAAACCTGACGTCAAACTTGAACGACAGCCATCTGAGAGGGGTGAGGTGCAGGTGAAACATGACAAGGAAGAAAAAAGAACTGACAGAGAAGAGCTGGTGAACCATAGCGACCACGTGAAAGAGAAGGAGAAGAAGATTAGCACAGAGAGGAAAGCAGAGGAGAAAAAGGACCAGGAGGAGAGCAAAGGAAAAGTTAAAAAAGCTGAGGAAAGTGAGAAACTTGGCAACTGTGTGGACAAAAACACACCAAACAGCAAGGCGAAAGAGGAAGAGGAGGAGGACGAAGACTCGAGCATGTTTGATGAGCTGATGGAGCAGGTTCGAAGCAATGACCCTTCCCTCACTGAGCTCAATGTCAACAACTCAGAGGTCATCAAGACAAAAACACTCATCGAGTTTGCAGAGGCTTTGCACAACAACACCCATGTGAAGAAGTTTGCTTTGGCTAACTGCCGAGCGGACGACCATGTGGCTTATGCCATCGCAGGCACACTACGCACCAACAAGACTCTCACCAGTATCAATGTTGACTCCAACCACCTGACGGGCAAGGGCATCCTGTCTCTTATCCAGGCGCTGCAACACAACTCCACGCTGACAGAGCTTCGCTTTCAAAACCAGCGTCACATCTGTGGTGGGAAGACCGAGATGGAGATGACCAAGATCCTGAAAGAAAACACCACCCTGCTTAAACTGGGCTACCACTTTGAGTTAGCTGGACCCAGGATGACCACAACGAACATACTGAGTCGCAACATGGACCGACAGAGGCAGAAGCGCCTGCAGGAGCAGAAGCAGGCCCAGGCCAACGGGGAGAAGAAGGGTACACTGGAGGTACCCAAGACGGGTGGCGGAGGATCTCTGAGAAGCTCACCCAGAGCTTCACCCAAACCTTCTCCCATACCTTCACCTATGCCATCGCCAAAGCTGACACCTAAAAGAGGCGGTCCACCCCCACCTCCACCGCCTCCTGGGGGGGGACCTCCACCTCCACCGCCTCCTATGCTGGACGTAGACTCCCTAAGGAACTCTCTGACTCCGGTGTCACAGAGGAAGCTGGATGGAAAAAGCCCAGGTGGTAGTAAGAACTCAAGGGACCAACTGCTTGCCTCGATCAGAGATAGCAATGTGAAACAACTCAAGAAGGTACGTAAAGCTTGCTTTATGCATAGGTTAGCTAGGCCATGTTATATTCTCACATACTTACATTTTATTTTTCCACAGGTGCCGGTACCAAAGTGGTTGCAGTAATATTTCCTGTTGGAATATAAAGTGAAGAAGAAGAGAGAGGGAGAACTGACATCTCACCACAGGTTTTCAAGGCGATAAACTCTACATTCCCCCAGGATGCTGTCGAAGAACTGTGCTGTGGGATGGATGGAGGAAGTGCACCATGAGATGCCCATCGGTTGGATGACTAGCCCTCACTATGAGTTCTCCCCTCAAACACTGGACCAAAAGGACTCTGCCGAGAATGAGTGATGCAGGGCTCTCTATTAGCCGACTGCAGACAGTGCCATGAGTCGCCATGTGGTTGTTTGTCTTCAGTTCATATTGACGCTTTGCTGGTTATTTGCACTAGATAATATGAAGCCGATCATATAACGTGAAGGCTTGTGTATGCCTCTGAATGTGAGCGTGGTAGGAGTGTGCGATGAGCTTAATAAGATATTCAAATAACTCTTTATAAAATTCTAATATACTAAAGTTTCTCAGTGATATAGTGGACATTAATTTGACCATTTATTTATTTGTGGAGAGGGAATCCACCTTATACTTGTAAGTTGTAAATCTGTTCAAACTAGGAATTCCGAAATGGTGGAAATATCAGGGAATTAACAAACATGGCGGCCTGACTTAAGAAAATCTGGGTAAGAAAAATAAAAAGGTCAAGGTGGTTTTTGATTGCTTTGATTGTGTGTCTCATTGCCAAATCTCAAGACATCTCAGGCAGGGTTTAATGGATTGGAAAGCAGCCCAGTGGAATCCTGCGGCATGACGAACGAGTTTTAGCATGGAAATAATTACATAATGCATTTTTACCAGGAAGTGCAAATAGCTGCCTTTCACTATCTGATGTTATATTTTGTACAGAATCATTCTAGCCTGAGTGTTTGAATACCTTACATAACTAGAAATGTAATACATCGGCATGTCATAACCTTAGGGGGATTTGGAAAACCATTACTGGCTTATATCAACCCTCCTGTTGATTTTATGCCATACTTTTAAGTGAATGTCATTTCTAAACGAATTGAATGTGATAAACAAAAATCAGAGTGGCACTCAGACTGTATGTGTACTGTGTAATGAAGGACTCTCTGTCATATCTGATTACACATGCCTTTCTTTCAGAGCCTGTATGTCTTCAATAAAAGATTCTGCTATGTTTGCAAAGTCACAAGTGTAATGTTATGCCAGGCTGATATCATTAAAGAGAAAATACACAGTCTATGTACAATGAAATACAAAAAAATACAGACTTTTGCTATGTTTCAGTATGATAAATCAAGTTATGTATGTAATAATATCTGTTGAGCTGTCATTTATTTCAGTTGGTTTATGGTCAATATTAAATCGTACACTTTTAATAATACACTCCACATGTCCACTGTGTACATTACACTTGCTAGGAAGATATGCACAGTATCTACAGAGCCATATACAGATATGTAGCCATAGCCAACAACAATCCTGCAGCTTAAATAATGTCTCTGACTAGACTCATTTACATGCCTGTGTTTCTGCAACCAGAAGATTTCTGTTATCTTTACAATACATGTTTAAAGCTGCAGGGAAATCGTGGGAGCTGTCTAGTGTCTACCCACCGTCATCTTGGGTGTTAAGAGGAGAAAAGGAGAACAGCACCGCCAGCAGTAGGCCATGTTATGTCTCCATCTCCCTGCCTCAGCCTCTGCGTCCATGAAATGCCTATATTTGGGCATTTCTCAATGAACGCTTGATCTGCAATTCATTCCTTTCTCCTTCCTAATAATGGGCTGCAGGCCAGCGGTCTGCCTCTCGGCTGTAGCTGCTCCCCTGACCAACAGCGCTGATCTCAGATGGAGGAAAAAGAGGGGAAAGAATGAAAATGTTAAGATTATGGGTTGTGCAGCACCAACAAAGGGGATCTAAGGAGAACTTGGTGCTCATTTGTATGCAGAATGTAACTCAGTGGACATTCTAATATATCCACACTTCTTCTTTAGTGTTTACATCACTTGCACAGCATACTGTAGTTTAGTTTAGTCTTCAAGTTAACTGTATATTTAGGTTCCTTCCTCTTTATAGCATGGCCGAATTAACCTGCTATGAGGTCCCAGGGCAAAAACGAGCTGGTGGGCCCCTCTAGACCCCCCCTTCACTAGAAAACTTAATGAACCCAGTTTGCTGTGGGGCAATCTAATTCAAAACAAATGTAACTATATGTAACATGTAAGCACTATATCAGCTAATATAGCAAAGGTCCTAAAACTGACTTCTGATACACAAACCAAGATCAGGTAATAAAATAGGATCCTTATCACAGTAGTTGATATTGTGGTTTTTCCCAAACAAATTTAGAGTTAATCACAGACCTGGTTCGGCAAGTAAAAGTCCCATTTTATTTCCCTACAGACAATAATATCTGATAAACAATTGGAGCTCTTCTATGACATGGATCAACGTGAAAGTCTTATTGAGAATTCAGAGACATGCTTAGCTAATGTTGAGTTGAAGCTGAAGATGAAAGTGTTGAGAAAACTGAAAACACAATCTGCAGCTTGAATCAATTTTTAAATTCTGGTTCATTTGCAGGTGAACTGAGCAATCATGGTGCAATGTTTAGCTTTAAACGGTAACGATGAAGCTCTTTCAATTCATCATTGTGATTTGCATCTTATTAAAACCTGTCTGCCAACGGACACAACATGAATTTTCAATAATTCAAACTGGTGGCAATAATATAAACATATGGGGTCATTACATTATCCAGAGTTTCTGTTTCTGTGTTAAGATATAATTGAAAGAAAACATTTTTAATGTGACAACAGAATGGAGAAAGCACTTGAACCAGCACCAACTCCCACACAGTGAAATCTGGGGCTTTTGTGGCAGCCATTTTTTAAATAATTCATTCTTTATTGCTTAATTGCAGACATTGACTCAACACAGTGAAACAATATCAACAAATGGATTTAAAACATTTTTGTTTTTGGTTGTCTTATGTTTATTCCGAAGCAGATTTTATCCGATCTGAGGGATGTTGTTATTTCTGTTGATCATACTGTAAAACCAGTCACACTTTCATAGATACCTGGGTTTCTTCTCCATGTGCCATTCATCTTTCAAAAACTAAAGAAAATATTCTTCTTTGTCTTGCTATTATGATTATTGCTAAATCTCTATTATTTTGCTTTAGCTGCTAAATTGACTCTGGAACACATAAATAAATAAATAAAGATATAGCTTACTTACGCTTTATAAGGACTTATTTAACTGAATTGCTGCATTGCATGTCCCCCAAGACTGAGCACACTATTTGACTATGCTGACATTGATAAATTAACTACTGCTGTTAAGAACGGAGCCCCTGATGTCCCAACTCTGTTTAATGCTTAAACTTAGGCTGCAGGATAACACAACAATCTTTTTATGGTCGTAGGTTTGGTCTCAAGATTGGTAAGGATCAGCATGTCGCAACCTTTATACAGTCTATGATCAAACATCTTCCAGCGGGGGGATAAAAAAAAACTACGTCATCGCTACAAAGCCAGCTGCTTATCTACCACCCCACCTTTTCTGATATCAGATTTGTCTACCTCCCTGTTCTCCTTCTGTGTTCTCTTACAGTTCCAGAGCGACCTACGTCTTACTCCTCACACACGGTGCGAGAGGAGAGGGAGAGACGCTGACTGAGAATACTCTGAGCAGCATGCAGTCACAGTGGAATAAATTAGCCTACAATATAATAGACGTTTCTCACTTTCCCCCTGATGGTCGAAATATCTCACTAGATTTGTGACTAGTTGCTTTTTTTAGAAATAAAATCTCTGGGGGTCTGAAAATGTTAGACAGCGGACCAAACTAATATGAGGCATCTGAGGGGGGAGGACATAATCTTTCAAAACTTAAAAACATGGAACTCATAGTAGAGAACAAGGGTTGTTAACTGTTTGTGTACCAAATACATTGACTAGGCACTGACGGGTTATATTTTTGGATCAAAATTATTGCCTGGACAATTCAGTAGTCGCTGGATAGTGGTAGGGGCCTTTTAAACAGTCTACATGTGACATACCCTCCCTAGGCCCTTGGGTCTATTGTTTTGTACACATTTTTAAATAGATCAATTTACTGTAATGACAAGTTGATTTTCCTCCCTGATACTATCCTTTTCCCACAAGGTGACATCCTTAAAGCTAACCTGTTTTTAGCGCTTTTAGAAACACATGAAATGCTCCTTTAAGAAACCACGTTGTGTCGTTACGTCAGAACGTCGATAAGCGTTACGTAAGAGGGAACAGTAAAAGAACAAAATGGAGGAATATGCCAGAGAACCATGGTGAGTCCTATAACCAAATAAAATATATATTTTTTGCCAAGTACTGTCTATGTCCCTCTTTGAAGTAACTAACACGTTAAGTATGTGTAATTATTTTATGCTGCAACATGTGGCATTACTCAAAACGTCTCAATCCGGTTAGTTATCCAGCGTTAGCAGAGATGCTAACGTTACATAGAACTGTATTTGCAGGTTGTATTAGCATTACACCGTCGTTGCCTAATCACGTTGTCAGTGACCTTCTCGGTTTACTTACCAATATGTCATTACATTTAGCCATTTAACTGCACTCACTGAGTCTGTACAGGGTGATGTATGATTTACAGCGAATGTCAAGTGCTATTGTGATCGTTTTAACTGTGCAGTACAGATTAGCTCCGTTAAAGATGTGTGCTTTAGCATATTTGTAAGCTAGCTAACGTAGCCACCTGTGTGCTAATGTCTGTTGGGAGGGGACCTTGAGACTAGTCGTCTCTGGACCAGTCCAGTTTATCGGGAAAAAGTTGGAACCGAAATTAAAAGTACCAGTTTAGAAAAGATAGTTTATTTTGCCTGTGTTTAGGATTGGTGGCACGTTTACATTCATGGGCAGGTATCATGCAGGATGATGGTCCTGGATCAGGTTTTTAGTTACAACCACACCAAGTGGTACTTAGTGTAAGAACCAGGCAATAAAAGGACATTTTTAGCGTTTTAGAAGTGAATGTCTGCAGCTTGCAGTTGTGCTGTAACAAGTAGCTTTTTGAAATACTAGAACATTTACTTGAACTTTTTTTTTTTTTTTGTATTGTTAAGTATGTGCTCACTATGTAGCAGTGATTCGACACATTAAAGGTCAGAAAGAAGTAATGCCATAATAATTACATTTAGATTTCTAAGTGGAGATGCCCTTGAAGTAAACACTGAGAACAGATATCTTGGCCTTCATTTTAAATATTTTATAAGGGTGGTAAAGATGTACAGTTTATATATTTTGACTTTGTTGACTACAACAAGTTTTTTTATGTTAAGATTAGCTTTATTTCATTTCCACAATAATAGGAGATTTCTTCATCAATCACCCCTGGCTTACAATTCATACTCATGGGGCATGTCAAGACTGAACCTGCATCTGGAGATCATGATAAATGCAACTTCATACTGTCTGATAATGGCCTCTTCAAATGTCTGTCTCTTATGCTTTTAGCCCCTGGAGGATCGTGGACGACTGTGGGGGAGCCTTCACCATGGGCGCTATCGGAGGAGGAATATTCCAAGCAGTAAAAGGCTTCAGAAACGCACCCTCAGTAAGTTCAGACATGTAGCTGTTCCTTTACTGTAATGACTCCCTCTGCGTCTGCACGCAGTCGTCTACTTACAAACATGAACAACATGGAGGGAGACACTGCTGAAGTTGGGTGATGCGGTTAAAAAAAATAACAATGGTTTAGTCAGTGTTTCCCACACATACACTTTACTTCGGCGGTCCGCCCAGTTTAGGCGACACATTGTAGCATTTATCAGAGAAACAGCGATTACGTTACAAGTCGCAACACGGTGGATATTTTTACAAGAGCGGACCACGTACAGCAACAGTGAACACACCAGTTAGATGGTCAGATGTCATTCGTCAGCTACCACGTTGGTTTTGTTTTGATAGGCTACGTCATCAACACGCCTCCTCAACATGCGGCGCAGCTGCTGCTGTGAACAGAATTTTGTGTAGAAAAGTCCAGAAGACAAGTATTGTTTTTTTTCCGGCGACTTTATTTTTATATATATATATATATGACTTCTGCCAGTGATTTCATATACTTCATGTTTGTTGTGGTTGTTATCACTCGATCAAAGATGTGTCCATTGATCTGTGTTTGCTGTTGCTCATTTGTAGGGGATGAACCACAGAATGAGAGGTAGTTTGACTGCTATCAAGACCAGAGCCCCACAGCTTGGAGGTAAAAAAATAACTGCTGAATTTAAATAGTATCTGCCTGATACTTTATCTTCACTATCAAATGCTCACTCTCTGTAGGCTGGAAAGGTCACTGTTTTCTCCTTTTCAAAGAACAAGGGCTGGAGCAGCTCTGTATCATATTGTTTATGTTACCAATTTTGATAAGTAAGTCATGACATCAATTGCAAATATCCAATCCATCTAATCCATCCATAGAAATGTCTTAAACCACTTTTGAAATATGATCTACTTTTCACTGTCCCTCTGTATTATTATTATTGTTGAAAACAAATGTAATTTCATCAAATATGGCAAAATATTCTGCCTTTTTGCGCTTCTTGAAGTTCAGACATAACCTGTATGGACACTTTGATCCCTTCTATTCTGGTGTGAAAACCAGACCAAACCGTTTCAGGGGAGGAATGTTAAAGTAAAATGTTAAAGATAGTTAAGAAATACAGTAGTTTTGAAGAACATGACGGGTTTTCCCACTTTCTCAGAAACTAATAAATATTTTAGGACAGACATTTTTATGTATTTATTTGGTGTAGTCTGAAGTTATGTGAAACTGCTATATTAGGGAATCTTGTGTGTAGATGGGATCAAATAACATAATCACTATCCCATAGACTTCCAGGAAATTAGCAAAACTGCAAGTAAACTGTTAATTAATTTCAGGAGTCATATTTTATTTTCATATATCGGTAATTTAAGCTTGAGGTTTTTTGAACTAGGGCCCTGTAGTATTTGGATCAAGTAGTTTGTGAAAATGTGAGAAGATGTCTATAGCTGTTATTTAAGGGAGTGAGAGAGATTTTGTGTGAAGTATATCCTACAATGATGGTAAAATAATAATTATAATAATCTTTATTTGTAGAGCACTTTCCAAAAACAAGTTACAAAGTGCTTTAACAAGTGTAATGACAATAAAACACATAAAAACAAATGCATGATAAAAGCAAGAAAACAATTAAGAGACTAAAATACACATTTAAAGTAAGTATAAAATGTATATAAAATAGAGTAAAATAAAATTGTGAAAGGCTCTCCTATAAATGTTGTAAATGTATGTTAATAGAAATGGCCTTTAAAAAGTGCAAAGGATGTCTTAACTGTTTCTTGTTCTTTTTTGGGTTGCAGGAAGCTTTGCAGTATGGGGAGGCCTCTTCTCCATGATTGACTGTGGTTTAGTAAAAGTACGAGGGAAGGAGGATCCCTGGAACTCTATTACAAGTGGGGCCATGACAGGAGCTATCCTTGCTGCAAGAAGTGAGTAAGCCTAGAAGAAGCTGGCAGTTAACAGTCAACAGATGGCACATACATGCCTCGAGCAAAAGTCAAATGGTGATGTTGCACATGCTGCATTATCAAAACTACAGTGTGTGTGGTAGAAAGCATCAGGAAGACTATTCAGTGTGTGGAGATGTGTTTGCAAGGCATGTTTTTAGAGTGCCAGAACCATTTTTACTTTTTGAACTAAGCTTTGAGTGAAAAAAAAAAAACTCAGCCTAACTTTTAAAAGAGGTGATGTCCTCCTCGCCATGACTTGTCGAAACTGTCCAGTGCCATCACAGGAAGTGAGAGCTTAAAGCTGAATGATGTCTTTTTCTCTTACAGGATTCCTCTAAACTATGGATTAACTCATTATATAACATCCATCTCACTTCCATTATGTGCCATGTTAAGAGAATTTCCTACTGGTAGTCAGAGACAGTAGCACACACGGAGCGGAGCAGAGGAGAGACATGTGAAATTAATGTTGAACATAACGCTGAAATTCAGTGTGATGTTCTGTTGGGTGATGCAGTGACTTAAACAAACTAAGAATAGAGGAAAAGTCAGCTCGCCGCTAGGCTAATTTATGCAGTTTAAATTGCCGTAGGCTTAAGTTAATGAACCTTGACTGTTACATCACAGCCTGAGAGTGAGTGACTTTGGGCTTTTAGGGAGAGGTGAAAAAGCACATCTGTAAAGGAAAGAGTGCTGAATTCATAACGCAAGACAAGAGCATTATTGCGAAACAATGTGGCACAATAATCGTTTTATGTCAATTATCTTGTTTTCATAATCGTTGGATACCACAATCGTAATTGAAAATAAAGTTTGATTAATTGCCCAGCCCTAAACATCACTGTGGTGCATGTGAGATGTCCACCTTCACCTTGTCACTCTTGCCTGATTGACTGATCAGACATGTACAGATCAGACTTGACTAACATCCTTTATACTGTCCTGTTCCTTTTTATTGCATTTACTGGATACTAGTACATGGTCTTCCCAGCAAGGCCTCCACCTAGCTTAAACATGCGGAGTAAGTGAAAACACCTGTGTGGGTGTGCTGAGCCTTAAATTATGTCAACGACATAAAAAACATGTTTCACTATTTACAGTGACGTTTCACCTCCCCCTTTTAATCGACTTCTGTGAACTGTGGAGACTAATGCACAGGGGGTGTGTGTGTAATATATTAACTGTTTCTCTGTAGATGGACCGGTAGCCATGGTAGGCTCTGCAGCCATGGGAGGTATCCTGCTGGCATTGATAGAGGGCGCTGGAATCTTGCTCACTAGGTTTGCCTCTTCACAGTTCCCAGCTGGTGAGTAATACTTCTGATATTGGAAGTTTGTTTCATTGAAGCTGACCAACTCAAAGTGGATGAAGTGTAATTGGACTATTTTGCACCTCGAGCTCAGTAAGTCAGCCAGGTATCAATTTCTCCTTAGTTGTGAAAGATGGCCTATGATGTGGCAAATAAAAAGTACCGGCTGTACAGCAATTTAATACGATGTATGTTGTTTTGTTTTTTTGTATTATTATTTTATTATAATTAATACCTAATATAGAATTGGGACACAACTCAGGTGTAAATGAAGTTATATTTTAGGTTAAGCCCACCGCTCATTAGCTGTCATATGACTCATATGTTGACCCCCTCTCCTTCTCTCTCTCTCCAGGCCCCCAGTTGGCAGATGAACCCACCCCTGCTCCCATGCCCTCCCCTCCCTTTGGAGACTACAGACAATATCAGTGAAAGGATGCCCCACTTCTCATTCACTAGGCCTTTTTTTGAATTCCTTGCTGAAGTTACAAAGAAGAAATGGAAATGCAAAATGCCACACGTCAAACAGGAGCAGCCGCACCCAACTGTATGGACTGTGTCAGAGAAGTGAAGGGACAAGACACATCTTCACTTTTCTTTCTTTCAAGAGCCATGTACAGATCTACCTTTTGCCATTCTCATGCATCTGTTTCACGTAACATTGGTTAAATACAGACATGTGGCGAGATTTTGTTGTTTGATATTCTTGGGGGGGGGGGTCTTTCTTTTTTGTCCATGTAGAGTATGCTCTGCATGTAGCCCAACAATCGGAAGGTCAAGACTGACAAGCTATGGATAATGTTCACTCTAGAAAAAACATGTCACACATGGAACATCATGAATAATACAGAAGTATGGTATACTTATGTGTATATACAGTAAAGGCTTTCTGCTTGTATTCATCCATGTTAGTCTTTTTTTGCCTTATGTGACCTGCTTGGGCTGGCCACTGACATTTGGCTGGCCTTTTTTTAATGGATTTTATTCAGATTTGTTAAGGTAAACGTACATCAGATACAATGCTCTTCATGGGATATTAGTTTGTTTTAAAGTGATTTTATTTATTTTAGATTGTAAAAAGATGTAACAGATTGTTCTATTTTATGTGACCAGTGCTTTTACTTTCAACACGAAGGTGTGGAAAAGTCTGCTAATGACAAAGGATGGCGTAGGCGCAGTACAAACAAATGGCAAAACTTGAGCAAGGGATTGATGCATACTGTATTCAATCTGTCTGACAGATTGTACTATGGTACAATAAAGAAATAAGTTAAGTGTGTCTCTTGTAGTTTCATGAATACATGAATACATTAGTTGTGAAAAATGTAGATTACGAGTGAGAATGAATTTAAGTGTACTGTACTATTGCTGCCAGGGCAGGACTGCTCATCCCCCACTAGAGGGTAGTCCTCGCCAACATATCCAGACCAGTGTTGTTGTGTTTTGCCTGGCTGAAATTGTGTAACTGACACTTTAAGGATGTGTTTACAAAAGCCACTTTAGGGAGCACTTCCCTCTCATATTCTTCATTCTGTGCATCACGCACCTGTTGTCTGCTTGAAGCCCACCGTGTGTAGTTACAGCTGAAGGACATGGGATGAGTAAGGCGATGGGCAAGGGACCTTGATGCAACTTTGACGTCACCGGTTTGATATGTGGGGTCAGGGATCATTCACTCTTCAGGCTTCAGTCGAGCAGAAATCACAAGATGAAACTAGAGAGCTCTCTTCCTAAAGACTTGACTTGGGATTTGAGTGCAGAATCATTCAAGTCCCCAAGTTTTGACCAGGAAAAAAAAATCCAGAACAATAAATAAATGCAATAAGACAGTTTCAGAAGACCATACACCTTGGATATTTTAGACTTAATTTGGTCACTCGGTTAATCAAGTCATAGTTTTATCTATAAAATGTCAGAACACTTTGACTAATTCGATCAAGGCATATCATATTTGAAGTGTCTGTTTTGTGAAACCACCACTGTAAAACCCCAAATATTCTGTATGCTGTCATAAAAGGCTCAGAGGACCAGCAAATATTCACATTTGAAAAACTGAAGCCAATAATTTTTGGCAAGTTAACCTAAAAAGAACTTAAACAATCAACTGATGATCAAATTTCACTCTTAAATTGTCAATTGATAGTGACTAATTGATTAATCGACCAGATGTTTCAGTTCTAAGCAGGTCCATATATTGACAGGAGTTGGTCTCAGCTATGTAACATTTAACAGCTGTGAAAGGAAAATGGTCAAAAGGTTTGTCACTTTACATGGTTGGTATTCAGAGACCTCAGGTGGAGACTTGAAATTGACTTGAAAGTAGTTAATGAAGACACTGCACTTATATAATATATTTAGGTTGCTAATTTTGTCCAACCAAATATCACAGTGTGCTAACCAAAGTTTGGCATTTTTGCTTGAACAAAAAGTTAAACAATTGATTAGCAAAGTCTATTCATTTTCTGTTAATGACTATTTTATTAATTGTGTGAAACCTGAAAATGACTAGAAAGTTGCTTTGAAATACCCTCAGTGACTCCAGAATAGACTTAAAAGAGCTCTTATTCATGGAGTTGGTAGTTGTTTTGCATTTTGGCAATCCCTGACAGATTTCAGAACCAGAAAGTTAACTCATCCTTCAAGAATTTGTTATGTTTAAATATAAATCCTGGAAGCAAAGTGCAGCTGATGTGGAATATATTACAAACAATTAATAAAACCAAGGCGTGTGTGTGTGTATTTCTACTGACACTCGTTATTACTCCGCAGCCCGTTATCATGCAAATGACGGGGGACGAGTGGCCGATGTGTCATGCCCTTTTAAGAAAAATGAGAAATAGTCGGGAGTGACGTCTGCTGCGCACAGAAGCGAACTGACACTTGCGGAGCGGCGAAAGACAGCGAGCGAGAAACGGTGAGTGGAAATGCCAAACTTTACTGCACGCTAAACGCGGTCAAATGAGTATTTTGCGTGGCAGCACGCCGCGTCCACACTTGCGGGATAATAAGCAGACACAGCGGAGTGTACGACGTGTGTTGCATTTGTCGAATAAATGGAAATAATTGTCCTCAAGTACAAAACGGAGTGTGCACTCCCATTTTCAGTCAAGGCCAGGCGGAAGGGCAGGTAACGTTAGCAATCGGCTGTGTCTTTCCCGAGCAAATACACCGTAATGAGGGTTGTTTTAAAAACCTGCCACGTCCGGTAACGTTTGAGCTATGAGATGCGCTTGATTGCAGCTTGTTTCTGACAACCTAGCTGTGTTTTGATTTTACGCTAAGGGCAGGAATGTGTCGGCTAGCTTAGCTTGCTTGCTAACAAGCCGTAGCTAGCGGTTGTTAAGTGTCGGCGGCCCTTTGCAAGCAGTTAAAGCTAGCTAGTTAGCGGCATTTTGCTAACAAGCTTGATAACGGGTCTTAGCGTGGTTGCTGGTATGAAACTAGACTGTTTATGGGCAGCTGCTTTTCTCGGTTGACTGGATTAAAGATTATGGTGTTTTAAGGATTTGTCTCTAAGCGGGTTTATGATTAGAAGAGAATTTGATTAATGTTACGGAAGCTAAGGTTTGCAATAATCCAAGACATCGACGGGGTGTTAGTTACTGCTCTGTGGTCACAGCCACAGATTGTAGCTATTTAGCATGACCTGGAGTGATAAACATATGCTACTGCCGTAAGCAAACTAGGTAGATTCACAGTGAGATAACCCAAAAGCTCAAATGACTTTCTGTTGTCTGAGCCCGAGCTGTTGCAGGTTATTTCTGCCGCAGGGAGAGTGTTGTGAAACAGGAAAGGTGTGAACTCCATGCTGGAACTATAAACACACAGCTGGTCAACTTTATTAATTATACATAATTACAGCTTCCAATTATAGTGGACATTTCTGCAAAGACGCTAACTGAGTTAATCTGCCCCTTCCCTTGAATCTTCTCATAGTCCAGGTTTTGATGATGAGATACTGGCTATAAAACCCCTCTCTTTCAGCAAGCCTGCTGTCTGGACTCTCTAACAGGAACAGAGACTGGAAGAGACTATTTTAGTAGGTAGCTACTCCGTTTCCATCCTATCAGCATGAAGCCTTCATTCGCTCTGGAAAGAGGATGTGGTTACAGGTCAAGGCCCCAGCAACACAGATGCATACCGCTGATGGTATTTGTCAGTTACAGATCTTTGTCACAGCAAAGTTTTGTGTGCCCAGCTGCAGTTTTGTTCTGACTCACAGGGAGCATTCAAGGTTGTAGTGAACCTGAAAAAGAGATGCAAGAACTGAAGCTTTTGGTTCTTTTAAGACATTTTTCTTTCGGTGTAATTTTGATAGAGAAGACTGTGCAGGAAGTCTGACGCCTTGTGCTCAAAATCTGTTACCTGAAAGGTTGTAATCAGAAACACCCTAATTATTCATAAGTGTTGGTTTCCTGAATGAAGTTAAATGCAGTGTTATCTGTCACACACGAATATCACCCCTTAAACATTACAGTAGTGTGCGCTGTGAAAATGTAGCATTTCTTTGTTTAAGCTCTGTGGTGGAAAGGGTTTGTTTTACAGGCTTGTAAAAACCTAATTTCCTACGTTGTTTCCTAGAAAGAACTATGTAATTTGGCACTAATTATAAGTTAAATTAGAGACAGGGTTCAATCTGTATACTTACAATTAATTAATCCCAATTAACTGCTAAGCTAGCTAGTCTTTTAGTTGGTGCACAGCAGGTCAGCTAAACATAAAAAAAGTACAGTTTGATGGGGAATCATGCAGTTTAACATGAAGAATAAACTTTCCAATAATAAAATAAATTGAAATAATGACATAACACATTTCAACTTATGTTTAAAAGGAGCAGTACTTTGCAGGAAATTCCTCTTGATTTCAACAGCTCCTTTTTAAACACAACAAACTTAACAGTGTCAGAACCTTTTTCCGTATAATTAGTACCAGATAACGTTTGACTTTCCAGGAAATGTTCAAGACATAAGGAGGGTATTGGTAGGAAATAAGTTGGCTGTAAAATAACGCGTTACCGCTGTGTTTTCTTTACTTAAGCCCTCTCCTTGACAGGTTTTCTGCTGTCAGTAGTTTCTGGGTTATTCCCCCAAAGTCTCTGGGTTTCCTATGCTAAGCTCAGTGTGAACAAGCGATGTGAACTGGGGTTGTGGTGGGGGTAATGAGTAACCAGGAGCTTATCAACCACAAAAAACACTACAGCAGAACAACTGTCTCTTGTTTTTTTTTCTACCCCTAAACCTCAAGTTGCCTTGTGCTTGTCAAGCAAGCAAATAAGAAGATGGCACAACAGTTGGTATCATGTTGCTAGCTTAACCAAACGGATGTGTGCGTTTTCAACATCCGCACTTGGTGGAAGATTTACAGTGCTGCTGTCAATCATACCGCTGTGCTGAGTCAGGCACTGTGACGGCTTCAATGCTGTCAGATAAGCCTCACTAGACCAGGATTGAGTGCATCCTGAATGTTGTAATTCAGCTGTGAAGCCTCCTGCTCCCTAATTTCACTATCCTCTAGTTTGAGTCGTGGAGTAGTTTATGCAGACACATTCGCTGCATATTCTTGCTAGCAGCACCACCTCGTCCAATTTCCAGCCTTAGATGGATACATACCTTTGGCCGTAGAGGGTGAGTGATGCAGTGATGTCATGGTGGAGCATGTTTTCTGTGGCATGTGGCTTTCCCTCGCTCCTTATTTGCTGGGGTTACTACGAGAGCAGAGTAACGGCAGCGGCGTGTTTGTTTTGTTGGGAATGACAGTGTGTAGTTGAGGGCAGTGGAAAGAGCGAGAGGTTTTGGTTTTAAAGGGAGATGTCCTTAAATGGCCGTGTGTGTGTGTGTGTGTCGTGAGTGTGTAGGCAGGCTGTTGGGAGTGCAGTTGGATGTAGTTCCTGCTGTGAACGTTTGTCGATAAGGTATCCGTGCAAGAGCATAATTTTCAGTCAAGTCCCTCGTTGTTGTTTAGACTTTTATAGAAAATGCGTCACTTACGAGGGGAAAGTTCAATAAGGAAGGAGTTCAAAGGAGACGAGTGTTGTTTGCTAATTGAATATTAAGCAGAATTAGTTTGAGCCTTGATCAGAAAGGTCACTTGAGTTGGGAAGGCTGGTATTTGTATCTTGGCAGGTGTCAAGCACAACCACTTTGCCGTTCTCGAGAACATGAATTAACACACTTGAGCTGAGAAATGTTCTTCTTCTCTCCTACTCAAGCTCAGACATAATTAAAATCTTGTCCTTTTTGTTAGTGATGCATTTTAACTTGATTGTCTTTTTACTTATAG